TCAAAGCGAGGGAAAAATTGGTCCAACATTTCTAGAGATGGGAATTGTGGTTTGAAGTTCACCGTGTTTTATATATATGGCAATTTTCACCAACGTTTTCTCCACATACTTTCCCTCTTATCTTGAGAAAAGGATTTTCCATTTTTCCCTTGGTAAATAAAAAAATACAGCTGGCTGTGCTACAGGAGTCTGCAGTTTTGAAGCTGCGGCGGCAGCCGAAAGTAGCTGAAGCAATGATCTTACACAAGAACAAACTTATCGGACAACCATTCCGCTGCTGGTAACGGTAACCAAATGCAAACGCAAACTCAAACAAGACTAACAACAATGATCTTACATGGTGAACAAATTTATTGGACACAAACGTATGCTTATAACTGATTTGTCTCAACAAAATACTAGTTCTGTAGAAGTTGGGGCTCACTAAAATCATGATCCAGTGGCACAAGTGTTGGAAAGTATTACAATCAGGATTGCGCATCCAAAGTTGCATCACAGGAGAGAAGGAATCCACCAAAGAAATGATGCGTCAGAATCTAGACATCTTGTAAACCTCCTGAATAAAGTTTGGACCTTATTTACGAAAAGTCATGCATTCACTAAAAAGATATATGCAACATTGAGAACTGTCAAGAAATTTTCAGCAACAAGTCACATTTTTCGCATCATGATTCAGGATCACTCTAAGGCACGCAATGTTCAAATGATAAAATAAGAAAATTAAAATGAGTACTGTCAGGAGAGAACTATTATATTGGACTGTAGTAACCACCAAATCAGCAAGTTAATCAGAAAATTCTCAATGCCAAGCACAAATTGGTCAGTTGAATCTTAACAAAGAAAACCCATCTTACCATTAACTATACAGAATCTTAGTGCAGCTCCAAGCAGATAAGACCTATATCTTCTTCATTAGCAAACATCCATGTTCGAAACATAGCTACTTATCAATCATCACTTTGACTCATGCTAAAAACTACAGACTATAAAATAGGATGCGGTCTCAATGGTTTTTTATTAAAAAATTCTTACTCCCACAAAATCAGAACATTTGAGAAGAGACGACAAAAAAAAGACATACGAAAGCCATGGCATGGGATCCTTAGTCTAATTTTATGTACTATTTTAGTACCGCTGCATCATCGAATTCAATTTCTCATCAGCTGTTTACATTTAATCGTGGACAGTACATTAAAACTTAAGAAATTAAACACCGTTCTAAATAAACAACTAAAGTGGTGGATAATAAACACTAAACATCCCATGCACAATAGCATGTTGTTCTCCTCCTCTAAACCGCTACGAACATACACTACTCACTCCGTCAAAAAAAAATCTCAATTTGTGCTATGAATCTAAACAAAACATATGGAAGTGTGGAGCATGGATCGAGCGAAGGTCTAAGTCGAGTTATTAAAATTTGAAACGGTTGCCATAAATCTAAACAAACAGTAGGAAAGCGTAGACCACGGATCGAGTCAAGTTGAGTTATTAAAATTGAAAACGGAATTGAGGAGCACGACGTGGTATGTATGATACGGAAGCGAAGAGCAGTACATAGGCACGTACCAGATCCGGTGAGGACTCAGACTCGGGAGAGAAGACGGAAGCCGGGACCGGGATGGAGTTCCTTCCCTTCCCTTGCTGCTGGCACCGGAAGAAGATGTCGATGAAGACGAAGACGGTGGCCGGAGTTGGTGCTGCAGGCCCGGCAGACGGTGGGCGCGCACGACGGCGATGAGGCGGAGTCGGTGCTGCAGGCCGGCAGACGGTGGGCGCGCACGACGACGATGAGGCCGAGATGTAGATGCCGAGCTGTTGCGATGGGTGTGGACCGTGTCAGTGGAGCGGCAACTTGACTCTTCTGTGCGGCAGGCAGGCAAGCAGAAGTCGGACCTCTTCTCTAGCTTCGGGGCCGCCCGGTTAGCTTTATACGGCGTGTGCTTGGCTGGGAATCCCCGTTGCGGAGGACGAGATATTCTGTCGCCGCGATGGGGTTCGGGTGCGCGTGGGCGAGGGGTGCCGGGGGAGGAGGAAGGAGCGACGGGTGGTGGCGAAGGCAGGCCGGTGGCGGCGGCGCCGCGCGATGGCGAGGTCGAGGGCGAGGCGGCCGCGGCTAAGGCCGAGGGCAGGGAAGCCTCGCGTCCACGGACCTGCTCGCGTCCTTCGGTTGCGCGTGGGCGAGGCGTGCGGGTTCAGGTGCGCATGGGGAGGGGGGTGGGGGGGGGAGTCGCAATTACCATATTAACCTTCCACTCATAAAATTAATTAGCGCTAATTAATTGCTTAGGAACCAAGAGGAACCAAGAAGTACCCTCAACCACTGTAAAAGAGCTCATGTTTTTTAATGAATTGTTGATGAAAATGCAGCTGCAAAAATGTTTCTAGAGTAGTGTTTAGTGGTTAACCACTGATTAGCGAACTCCAAACTTACTCCCCTTGACTACAGCGTATTCTACACTCCACACAATTAATAATGGTTGTTGGTACGTACTAGTACAAAGTTAAGCCGTGACGACGTGGTTGGCACTTGGGTTTATTTAATTGCTTTCGATGGTACTTTCAGGTCAAAGTCTGCATCTCAGACCAGATACGTACACTAACACATAGCAAGAGGCGCATGCATGGGGGCGGGGAGGTTTGACAGAGACAGAGAGAAACAAGAATTGGTTGGACCGAGAACTGTAGGCAGGGATACATAGATTGAGATCCGGCCTCAACCAAAAGTGCACTACTACACCACAGACGCAGAGTCGACCACACGTACAATTATCATGCTATCCACTCCTTTTTTTTAGTCAAAGTCAGAATCGAAATAATTAATCCATGGTTCAACTAGCGCGCGCATTAAATTAAACCAGTGGTAATAATATGGAGTGCAAATGGAACTTGTGATCAGGATCAGGTCATCGATCGCCCTGATCAGATCAGGTGTGCAGTGCACTCCTGTTGATCGTGTAATATAGACCGTGATCGGCAGTAATACCACTACCTAATTGCCTGTAGAGGATGGATACAAGTCAATGTCATTGCGGCCACGGTAGTGTACGTTTGGTTCCATTGTGATTTCTTTTCCTCCCTATAAACTAGCTACTAGCTTTAATTTCTACAGTAGCAAGCATTATCCATGTTGATACGACGACGGCACTGAAGTGCGCAAAATGTGGACGCTAGGTAATGGCAATAATAAGAGCAAGTAGATTGGTGATATCTTATATATAGATGGCTTTATACATTATCACGTAATCATAATTAAGACTTAAATTCAGTTAGCCTTGTTTTGTGCAATCAAAGTGTGTGAGTTGCATTGAAACATTAAATCATCCGATGGTGAACTAGGTGTCATAGTTCTAATTTTTGCACATGAGACGGTTGCTTCAGGAAACAAACACCAATTTCTCCCACGTTCGTTCGCGCGCTCTCTCTCTACATTAAAACATAAAAAACATAGGGGTCATGTATTGATGAAACTATTTTATATATTTAAACTATTTATTGATAAATATTTATCTATATAGTTTATTATTTTTTGATATATTTAATATTTATTAATATATATTATTTATATGAGTTGCTGCTATCTACAGATGCTATGTAGTCATATATTTTAAATCTTTCCTCGCAAAAAATAATATACTTTAAATCTCTACGTATATAATGATTATGTTCTACTAGCACTATGGCCTCGTTCGCTTCGCTGAAAAAACAAGCCAAAATACTGTTCTGGTTGATTTGTTGTGAGAAAAAAATACTGTTCCGGCTGAAAAAGACGGATTATAAGAAAAACGAATATGACCTATAAATAAATAAATAGATACTTGTTGTCTTCAAAATCTAAGTAGATATCCTAATGCGATATCCGAATCCAAATATTCAGTTTATATTTGCATCTGATAATATCCGCATATGTATGCAGATTTGAATTAAAATGTGATAAATAGCGATATTGAAATTTGGTTCCACGTGAATTGATCCGAATCCACCCCTACCGGCAGTGAGTAATGTGAATCTAGGAATCGAAGTACAGAAGGACGATGCAGACGGACATGCTAATTATGGCCAATAGATACATATATTGTTTTTTTATCTAGTGTTTATATATTTTTTTAAGTGTTTCTTTTCCTCCCAAGGAAACGATCGACAGCTGATAGCTACTAGCATAGCCATGGTAAATAAATCGGACTTGGTAGCGCCCAGACGACGTCCGTCCAGAGCAGAGCGCTAGCGACCGTACGTTGCCACCACATAAGAGAGCCCGCGCCCGCCTGTTTTCACGCGCCCCACCATGTGGACCCCACTCTGCTTCCCGCCCTTACCATCGCGCTCGCTCTATTTCGACCGATGACTGTCGCGCCCGCATGGGTTCCAGTCACTGCCCCGCCTGCAGATAAGCACCACGCGGTGTCTGCCGGCCTCAGGCTCTCTCACGGGGACCCACAGCGGTGCCCAGCAGCAGCAGTATGCGACTGCAACAGGTGGGTCCTATTATAACATGTGCAACATCCCGATCTACTTTTACAACATCCAGATGAAAACACTCGCAACATATGTTTGAAATACCTGAAAACACTTGAAAACCATTGCAAAATCATATGCAATATTCAGATCTACTTTTGCAACATCTAGATGAACATTTGCAACATACGTATGAAATACCTAAAACACTTGAAACACATGCTTGCAACATGCATGTTATGCAACATCCAGATATACTTCTGCAACATCCAGATGAAACACTTGAAACATACGTTTGAAACACCTGAAACATATGCTTGCAACATGAAATATACGTTTACAACATGCGTATATAGTCATTGTAACATACACAACATCCAAATAAAAACACTTGAACACATACATTTGAAACACCTGAAACACAGCATCGCCGGTGGCATGGCCTACCTTATGGGGAACTAGGGTAGCCAGCAAGCGGCGCTTGAGTGCAGTGGAGAGTAAGGATGGTGGCAGGCGGGTGACTCGGCGTAGTGGAGAGAGGAAGGATGGCGCTAGGTAGGCGCTTGGGCGCACCGCAGCGGTCGTCACAGACCACGCTGGAATCCACGACGGTGCAGGTTCAACAGTGAGTGGTGGTGCCCCCGGTGAGCGGCCCCGCGGTGCAGGCAGCGACGGCGGTCAGGCGGGTGCAGCCTCCCGTGGCGAGGCGCCCCTGCTGTTGGAGAAGGTCGCGACGGGCTGGTGTCGTGCCCGTGGCGAGGCGACCCCGCACTAGAGAACGTCGCGGCGAGCGGCCCCACGCTGGAGAAGGCAATCGACGGCGACGCGATGGAATCTACCGCTGCGGTTGATGGCGTGGTGCGGGGGTGAAGAATGCCGCGAAGGGCAAGCGACGAGGATTGGGGAATCGATGTCCAGCAATTGTTTTTTTAATAGAGAAGCGCGGGCTTGTTGGGCCGGTCCGTTGCACGGGCGTGGGAAGCCGTGGGACGGCCGGGCGTCCTTCGGGGCACATTTCCGTAAATAAATTCATAAAATAGCAAAGGTGGTGACTCGTGAGGATGGAAGAAGTCAGAGCAGTGTGTAGCCCCGACGACATGGATTCGTATCACCCGTGTCTGCCCATCTAGAACCTTCGCCTGTAGAACTGGAAGGCCGTGGTGATGCGCGCGTCGCTCGTCGGCGTCCCAGTCGCAACTAGAGCGTCCCCAGCCATAAAGATGGGACTTGGCCGTGCCATTTGCAGGCTGGTCATGGCACGGTCCCAGGCAGGGTACCGCACGAAATATTTTGAGCCATGCCAGTATGACACGAACACGAGGGTTGTGTCGTGCCTGAGATCTTGGCACGACGGGCTACTTGACCCGGCCCGTATTTTGGGCCGTGCTTGGCCCAGCACGGCACAAAAATGGCATATAGACACATTTACAATTATACCATGTAATTTCCTAGCATTTACTATGCTACTTCTCATCTAATTTTTGAATTGATTATAAAAATTATTAAAACTTTTATAAAAATACTACACACAAGATATATATATTTCATATCACGAGAGTCGTGTTTGGACTGGTACATACCCGAAGGCATGCCATGCCACGAGCTGTGCTTGAGCCAAAAACAAAAGGATTATCGTGTCATATCAGCACGGCTCGACGTGCCTCGCATGTCTACAGGACATGACACACGAAGTGGCACGAAGCACGAGATGGTCGTGCTGTGCCAGCCTGGCCCGGCCCAGTCCCACCTCTACCCGCCGTCGCCTTCTCGGAAAGCTAGCAGTCCCCACGCCGCCACGCGTCGATCGCGCGCGTAAACATCAGCGAGTACTCCTCCATCCTACGTGTCGCTCGCAGCAGCGGAGAGCTTCAACCATAGCGCACGGCCAGCGCTAGCTACCTGTATTTTTGTTGCGCAGCGCCGCCCACAGTCCACTTGTCGGCCACGCGCGATCGCGCGCCGCGGCGGTCGTCGTCGATGTCGGCCCATGGATTGGAAGCTAGCTAGCGCGCGCCGCCCGTTCGGTGCTTGCAGTTTTACCGAGTCCGACTGTACGAGAGGCTCCAGCCTGGCGACGCGGCGGGCAGGTACACATGCACGGCCGGGGCCCGGGGTGTAGCTGTAGCCTGCTTGGCCGCTTGCCGCGCGCGGAACCGCGGAGGTCAGAGCAGGCGACCTTCGTGCTCCGAGTAAACGGTCGGTGATGGATGCATGGGATGGGTAGGCGGTGCCGATGGCGACGCCGGCACGCAACGAGAATACCGGCCTCGTCCGATCCGCCTGCCACCAGCTGGGCAGCCTGCTGGGCTGCGGTTGGTCACGCCCTATGCGTGCGTGCGTCCTTGCCTCTGCTTCTGTCTACTGCAGGATATTTTTAATTTTTATACAATCTTTTCTAATTATTATTTTAAAAATAGCATCACTAATTTTTTATGTTTGTTTTTAACTTTTTTGTTCGTGCCAACGCTCTTGACAAAATAATGCTAGAATATAACTTATAATTTTAGGACGAAGAGAGTATTGATGGGCACTTATTCTTTATTTTTATTTATAATTTTTTTTGTCACGCCAGTCAACGTGTGTCTGGTGTGACAAAATAACGCTAGAATAACTTATAATTGCTGGGCTGCCGTTGCCTTGTGTGCTTGATGCCTTGACGACCTAGTGCGTGGACATCGGAGGATGGGGATGGGCTGCAGGGTGTGGGAACTGAACCAAACCAATTGAGACTGAAATTAAATAAATTAAAACTTGATCTTAAGTTCTAGATAATCAAAATTATTGTCATTATTTTATCAGCTCCAATTAACCGAATTACTCGATTGGACCGAATATAACAAAAAAGTTCCAACAATGCATTTCAGTTTGGCCAATACCAATTTAAGCATGACATTAACCAAATGCTATATAATCCGCGCCAATCCTGATCTCTTTCTCCACCACTCACCGTTTCACCCAATTGTAGTCACTAGCCCTCCATATCCTCTCCTCAATCTCTTTTTCCACTATTAGCCCTCTCTATTCTTTGTAAACTATGCTCTCTTATCTTCTCAATGGCCATGGTGACTCCTACCCAGCCATAGCCGGAAGTGGTGCCTCCACCCTAAGCCATTTGACGACCGTCGTGCCAAGCCGCCATGCACCATCACTTTCTTGTTCATGGGACCTCATGTTAATTCAACTCCTTTCAAAGGCCTATGTAACTACGCCTCAATGCCCCTCTTGCGTGTGTGATAGTGATGCCCCAAGATGTCCTGATTCAACTACAAAGATGGAGTTGAGTTGAGACCCAAGAGGGAGGAGTCCAGGGCCATTGCTCACCATTATTAGGATTTTTGATTGAACTTGTTGAGCTTGCATAATATTTGTTGTTTGATTCGGGTTTTGGGTTCTGTATTAAAGATGGAATCAAAGGAAATTTGTCGTTATTTGGTATGACTTTGCGTGTTTGGTGAGGGTTGGGTTCCAGGGCAGTTTCCGAGGGCTGATTTTCCTGGCTTGGGTAAAGGCTTTGGATCTCCATTTGCAGCAATGTTAGTTATTGTCTTGCTTCTGCAATCTGTTGGGCTATGAGGGTGGTCCTTTGATTTGCTACGGTGACTGTTGCTACCCTTTCTCTTTCTTGTTGTGTCCTGTGCAGTTCTATCTGCAATTGTTGCTCCGATGTGAGCTCTATTGTAGGTTCGGCCGTGACATGGTCCGAAGCCTCGGCTTTTGCCACGTCTGGTTGCGGCTGTTCGTTTCTAGGTTGGTTTGCTAGATCCGGTGGAGTAGCATAGGCGCTGTCACGACCCAAAAATTGCTACAACTGTTCACGAGCATCATGAGCATATAGTGCATCTAAAAATACATGTTTTCAAAGATAATGATGCTTAACTCTAGACCTCTTGAACATCATGTGCATTTATAATTAAAACTAGAATCTGACTTATGCCTAGGCCAACCCAAAACCGAGCACTGCCCGTTTTGGCGGATCGTCCGACATCACAACCGGATCATCCGTCAAGACATCTCACAGACTTAGGATAATCTTGGCCAACCCGTGCACTGACGGAGTGTCCGCCATCACGGCGGAGTGTCCATCAAAACCCTTGCACAGCCAGTCAGTCTACCAGACATGGTCGGGCACTGCGGATCGTCCGATGCCTCTGGCGGACTGTCCGTCAAATTCGACCGACACCTGTAACATGCAAATGGTGCACACACACACACACACACACACACACCACTCGGCCCCACATGTCAGCACTCCATCTCACAAAATCAACACATCAGCCCTCTCCCTCACTCCCCATCTCATTTCACGTTGGCCACCAGGAAGAGCAAAGAAGAGAACGCGAGGAGAAAGGAGAAAGAGAGAAGGAAGAAGAGAAGAGAGGAAGGGAGAAGGGGGAGGAGAGGAGGGTGGCGCCCACCAGCTGCTGGAGAGCGTCGTCGGCGAGCTGCTGCACCTCCACCGCGCCACCACCTCGTCGAAGTTGGAGGAGACGGTCCCAAGTTTCATTTTCTTCAACCTCAAGCTATGGAGCAAACCCGACGTCAATCTCCCACCACAAGGCGTTCTGGTCCGAACTGCTGTAGATGGAGCTTCCCCAGGACATGGTGAGCACATCCCCCAAGTCCCCAACCATCTCCCCAACCAACCATGGCCTTACCCATAAGCTTCACCTTTATCCGTGGCCACCACCACCAGGGATGTGGTCGAGCTCACCACAGCCCATGCATGTCACATCCATCACTTGTAGAAGCTTCCCCACATCATTAGTAAGCCAAAGGAACAAACCGCACTCTATTCGGAGTCCGGATGCCCCGGGAATCGATCCCAACATGTTTGCACAGCTGTTGTTCGTCGTTTATTGGATGGTCCGTCATTTTGGTAGAGTGTCCGTTGAATTATAGCCAAAACCCGAGAGCAGCCTGTATTTATTGGACGTTCCGATCTTAGTTCGGAGTGTCCTATAATCTCTGCACGTGCGCACAACCTACACTTGTAAAATCCATAGAATGTGCATTTGACCTCCAAAAATGGTGAAACAAGTTTCGTTGTGCTCCATAGAATATCCTCTATCATCTAGACATAACTTTGGCACCAAAGGGGGTATCTCATTTTTGACCATCAGAAGAGGCTAAGCCCTTATAATTTACCGGAGGCTCCACCACACGCACCGGAGTGTCCGATAAGTTATAAATCATAGACAGAGGAGTTTCCCGAGAGCACAGACTCCGTACCGGAGAGTCCAAACTTAGTTCGGAGAGTCCCTAAGTGGATTTCGGTGATTAATGTCAATACAAGATTACTATGACTAACGTGTGTTTTGCAGAGGCAATTAAGTTAGGTCATGGTAATGGAGATCGATTGGGCAATTGAAGGTGTCATGCCCCTACAATGGAAATCGTTTCGGTTTTCAAAGGATGGACGACAAGGTTAAGGATAACTAGTTCTAAGTGTCAATTGAAGTTGGAGAGACACTTAGAGTTAGTTTAGGACTTTCCGTTCCGAGTTTTTTCCTCCTTGGCTGTAGATTGTTGACGCCATCGAGATGCTCTATGACCGTGGCGGGGGTATGAACCGGCGGGTAGCTTGACCTAGTTGAGTCTAGTGAGTTAGGTGTGGTGCACACTTGTTAAAACTAGCTCTAGGTAGCTCCTATGAATGCCTAAGATCCTTTGGAGCTAACTTCATTCACATATGATCGAAAGTTGGAAGTGAATGGAGGGTCAGGTGGGACCATCAAGAATGACAATTCACCTTCAAACTCCTTTTTAGCTCGGCTGGGGACATCCTCCCGACCAAACACCTCAATCGACGACTTCAACTCCACCTAGAGCCTGGCCGAAGTCCGCTCTATCTAGAGTTAGTCCATGCCAAG